ATCTCTAATATCGACTTCAGAAACATCGATCGGGAACGCTCACAACGAAGTTCCTATTAATCAACTGATCTCGACTGTCATTATAACAACAAGTCAGCCCTCGAGGTATCTGAATATGACAAATATGGTTCCAAGTCAAACGCTATTGATCGTTGACCAGAGATGCACGGGGTTCTGTTTTGTTATGCTCCGCCCCGCCCCATGTCATAATAAAAGGTGTTCTCCTTCATGACAATTGTTCGAAACTCATCGATCGGTAATTCGAGAAAGACACTGAATGGCAGTCATCAGACTTAGTTCAATGATCATCTCTGTTCAAGATCGACTATTCGAGTTATCGATTCGTTTGAAAATCACCTAACGTTTCGGATTCGTTTACCATCTCCATTCACAAAATCTGAAATGGCAAAAGCAAGTAGCTGTGCAGTCAATCCAAATGAATCCAAACCCGAGTATGATTGTCCAAGAAAAATTGCCTACAAAATGTACAAAAAAACTTTTAATCATTCAAAGCAGAGAGAAGTACGACAAAGGTATAAAAACACAAATAATTTTTTCTTATTGAAGATCGTGTCGTGCGGAACATATGTACTGTTGCAGTGTAACATCTAATTATAAATTTGATGTCACACAAATTGAAACATTATTCGACTGTGGTTTAGTTTTTCAATTCATGGGATTAGTGCCATTCTTTTTTGCAATCAAATCAGTTATATTCATTTGACAAAGTATAATACATCCTATTTCATTTTGTTCTGTGTAATGACGCATTGCTTTTTTCATACATATTCAACAATAAATCAACGTTGTTTTGCTTTTTATACAAACGTGCCAAACCCATGGTGATTTCGCAATTATGACTAAAGTATTTTTCAGTAATCTTCGCTGCCTTGTAATATTCTTCTGCGAAATGAAAATGATTTCGTTCACAATGTATTTCCGCTATTCTCATGTAAGACTGATAAATACATATATTGGCCATCGGTTTTAAATCCAAATAGGTATTCAATGCACGTGTATAAAGCTTCATTGATACATTAAACTTGTTCAATTTGATATAAACATCTGCTAAACTTTTACAAGCATTAGCCAACTGATAACTGTTTAATAATTTCCTATTTCGTTTACACATAGCTATTCTTTATTTTGCAATATTTTGATAAATAAGTAGTATAAATAAGTAATATAGCTTATGCTAAAAAGTTGGGCTCGAAACATTGAAGCGTTGCCGCGTTGTTGCGTGACAACAGACAAAATCGGGCTCTTAGCAGAAATGTATAGCCTTTGTTGGTAGAAAGAGCAGAAATGTATAGCCTTTGTTGGTAGAAAGAGCAGAAAGGTACGGGCGGTCTTAAATAAAAATAGATACCTAAGTCTAAAATTTGTCCGTCGCGTTTTTTGAATTTAGCTCGAAGATCACTCAAGGGGGGAAAAGCGCACTCCGCCACTCCAGCCACTCCGCGGAGTAAACCGCACTCCATCGCAGTCCAAAGCACTCCGGTAACCATTTTCACTTGTGTTTTACATTCATTATCTCTAACTACCATGGCCCGAAGAGAAAGCCGGAAAGTCATGATAGTTCAGACAGCTGTCTGAAAACTCATTTGACTATTATATTGGAGTAGAAAAATTTGTTCTTTTCATCATTTCTTGCTTTATATCTCTCTCTCTATAGTGTGCATAGAAAGAAAAAAAACATCAAGTCCAAGTATAGTGCAGAAAAGAATATATACATACATGTTCATTCTGTTATACGATAGTTCAATATTCTTTTTTTCAGACATACTTAATAATTCTGTTTTGAATTTTCTCTCCAATCCAGTTACCCGTGAATAAATTCATCGATGTGACTTTTGACGATTTCTTTGTCTTTCTAACAGCAAAGATCAACAAGGCGCTAGTTGAATCCATTTTCGAGGCTATGGAACTTCTAAGAGGGTTGTGTTAGAGCCATCCTTCTCAGAACACGGGGCATCACAAACTTTTTAAATAAATTTCGAATAAAGATGGATTTAGACTTACGGTTTTCGCTATTCAAAAGAAGAGACTTTAGGACATTTTTTCATAACTAAAGCAGGTTCCAAAGTCTGTTTTCCAATAAGCTTTTTTAGGAGATCTTTGGAAACCGGATCATAACCAAATAAGTTAAAGTACAAATCTATTTACAATTAAAGCACAATCTCTATTTTCCATGAGGAGATAGCCTAGAGTGTTCTCTTTATCATAGCAATCCTTCGACTTCAATTTCATTTTTCAAGCGTGGCATCGGATTTACTAGGAACCATAGGATCGGTTTCAAATGACTTTTATCCTCTTCCGCGGAAATCCGATGCGACACTTGAAAAATGAAATAGAAGAAGTCCAATGATTGCTGTGTTAAAGAGAACACTCTGAGCTATTTCCTTGTGAAAAAAATCAGTAGATTCGTATTTCAAATTATTTGGCTAGAATGCCTCATTTTGCAGCAGCGTATGATCAAAATATGAGCGTTTATCTTTCTCCAGTTTTCGATACCGTCTTTATTACGCCACTAACTCTTAGAAATAATAACATTTAACAGAACTGAGTGGGATACTGCGATGTTTTCTGTTTCTTTCTGGTGAATTTTTCTGCAAGACAGACTCGATATGTTTTTCAAAATCAATCGATGAAGCAAGAAATTGGACTAAGGATCGAAAACTGAAGAAAGATAAACGCTCATATTTTCATCATGAACTGTTGTAATAATAGGTATGAAAATTTGGCATTGTGCAGGAAAACATCAGATTTTAAACTCTTGTCTAACATTATTCAACGATCACCTTGAAAAGTACGTAGACTATAGCGATCATTTCCTGTGCAAAATTAATGAGTCGCTGCTATCCTGTTTATTTTGGCCAACTTCTCTGCACACTAGCTCCACAGCATAACTGAGTGATTTAAGAATAGCTTCAATCTTTGGCAAGTTACACATGTCATTTTCATCACGTTTGTAACAATATTACACCTTTGTTTCTGCGAAAGATTCTCCATTCAACTTCTAGAAAACTCTATTGAACTGCATAGTCACGTAATATCACATACACTAAATTCAGCAATATAGCAATATATGTAGTTATCCTTTAAGCGAGTTAAAGGTCATCATATAACACATGGTAGTTGTTTCTGTGCTAAACTCTGTCCTGTTTTACATCATCACTGACTGATGATGAAAAATACCCATGACTAATCAATCTGTATCTATAGGTCTAATACAAAAACTGTATTATTTTTCATTTATTTGATAAGAGAAAGCTAATGTTACACATAATTTCATTTATAGAAATGGTCTCAGTGTCCACTTTATCTACCTCATTTTGGAACCGAAACTACATCTTTTTCTTTACCACTACTAGATGGATTGTTAGCAGGTGGTATTTTTACTAAAATCACAAAATATATTACCGTCCGCATTCTTGAGGTCTTGAACACATCCAAATTGAGGTATGACTATTTGTTTTATTTTTGGATAAATTATTTACTGTTTTTGATTAAAGTTGAATTCTGATTTCGTAGTTTTTCATTACCTTTTTACCTACTTTTTACACTTGACAACTGTGCAGATCGACATTCTGTAGCTGTCAGATATATTGAACGCTTTACTTTACTTTCGTATTACTTTACATAAACTTTTCCAAAAATAGTTCAATAGATATTTCAAGTAACAAAACAAAACAAAACAGGGTCACCTCGTACCCGAAAGAACAAATCGTTTTTCAAGTGCTTGGTTAAGGCATGGCTAAAATGCATTTGTGATGCATCAGTTTGACCGAAAATGCCAACCATGAAAGGCTGGTTGAAGAACGTCCAGACATTTTTCCCCTAATAGAATTCGGACGACAACCTTTTTACATATAATAGGGAAAAATCAGTTATCCATCTGTTTGTCATTCTCTAGCGGTATTTTCTTGATCTTCTTGATCCTCCCTAACCAACACGAGGGCTTCTGTAGCAAGCCTGACAACTACCGGACCTAAAAGAGCTCCCCATGGGCCTAACATCTCAACTCCACCAAATATCGATAACAGTAGCAGTAATGTTGACATTTCTAATGCGCCCAATTTTGAGAATAGAGGCCGCAAGACATTATCGATCGATCCGATAGCCAAAACTCCAACAGCGATCATAATGCCGGCTTTGACATATTGATTTTGGAGACATAGACCGACAGTGATTGGAATCCATACGATAGCGGTACCGATGACTGGAATCAATGATGCAAGTCCTGTAAGTAAACCTAAGGTAAATGCACGTGGAATACGTAGACACGCGTACGCGATAGCTGCGACGATTCCTTGAACTAGACCTGAAAGTTTTAATAGAAATTAGAATGAATTAGGCGAGTAAGCCTATTACTCACATGTTAGCCCGACACCGACGAGAAGACCTCTCCCAGTCTCGTGAAAGGCTGACGATAATCTGTTCATGTGTTTTGGCGATACTGGACTATGTCGGATCATCCATTGCCATAACGGAGGCCCGTCTATAAGAAAGGTGTAGGTGGCGATGAGAAATATCAGTATTCCAATGATGAATTGTGCTGTTGCATTAGCTACGACTCCTAGTACATTTAGTGCTTGCCCGCCAAAACTCTTTACAGCATCTGTGAGTTCTTGCTGAGATAATAGGCGTTGAATGAAGTTAGTGGTGTTTGTTGATGAAAAGTCGAAGATATCGGATGTTGAGTTTGAATTGGACGACGAAGGTGGTACAATGAAATTGATAGCGTTTCGCAACCCTTGAGAGTGGCTTAGATGTGCAACGAGATTAAAGGCGCTATTTGACAATGCAATAATGATGAGAATAATCGGTACTATGACGAGAAGCACAATGATAATGATAAGAGTGGCTGCTATTGCGTGAGAGCGCGTTTCTTTGGAGGTCTGCTTTTTGAGTGGAAGGTAACGAACGAGAAAATCCATCAGAGGACGAGTAATAGTTGCGAACCAAACCGCAAGAATTACCATTGATAGGTAACGATAGATGATGAATGCGGTGAGTAGTGATAATATCAATGCACACCATTTCATTAGTTTCGCTTGGCTGTCCAGCATTTTTTTGTTCAGAGACAATGTGTTTGGCGCAAGCATCTGACCATCACCGATCAAACTCAACCTTGTGTCACTGATATTCAATTCTCTCGACGCACTTGGTACTAAGTCATTCATTTTTGGAAACAGAATCGTAGTCGAATCAATCATATGAGATTTATAGAATTATTTGTTGATGGCATCACTCTGTATTCTTAGTTATAACAGACATAAGGCCAGTGACAGGGAAATGATTTGTTGAGATCATCTAAATGATGCCAAACAGTGAAAATAAAACTAATGTTTCATTCACCACGGGCATCTTCTTACTTCCTGCCACACGTCTTTTTGCTGCATGCATGTACTGTGGTAGTGTAGTTTTTCTCAATTATACTGCTCATATGAATAGTTGAATGCACTTACTCGACTCCTGTTTTTGCTTTTTTTGTTTTTTATGAAAAATATGTAAGAAAAATTCGTCGTATCTGCAGAAGAAGTGAATAATAGCCTTTGTATTTTATTATTTCTTTTATTACCAATCAATGAGACACATATGTTAACAGAACGAGAAACAAACTAATTTTTCTTTTCCAAGTATTTGATTGATGATGAGGAGAAATAGACAAAGAGACTGGTAAAAAAAGAAGCATGCGCCGAGAAACTTTTCTGTCTTCTTTCTTTTCTCTCCAAGGTCGTTCAAATATCTTTGATAATGGCGTTTTTTTTATTTCAGGATTCTATTTTTGGCGTTACGCGTTCATTTTTATAGCTTTTTTCTTCGTTCCTCTTTTGTTATGGTTTCATTTCTAATTCTATTTGCTTGTGTCATCTATACTGCAGAAAACTCGCTTGCGTTCTCACATGTAAATTTGATGCGTGAAATGAGGCTTGTAGTGTGGGATGTAAGATCATACGTACAAATCATCTTAAAACGCTTCTCCGAATATTCTGGCAATAGCTCTGTTATGTAGAGCAAAAATTTCTGAAAAAATGATGTCTCTCGGCTCCCTATGATATTGTTTCATGAAACAGTAATCAACTTACGAAAGGCCTTGAGGGCATATCTTTCGTGTTTTCCCATTAATTTTGCTCATTTTGGTGGTATGACGTCCTTCGTAAGTTGTTTGCTGTTTCATGAAACAATACCATTGAGAGCTTAGAGAGATCTCATTTTGTTCAGAAATGCTCCTCTATACGACAGAGTAAAGTGCAAAATATTCGGCATAGCGTTTTTTCTGAAATTCTGGTTTTCCATTGACACTGGTACAAAAATTTCGATGGAACATTTATATACACCACATCAGACTGGGCATTCTTTCAGCTGTTCAAATCTTTTCTCACATTTCTCCCAGGTATTATGATTGAAGAGCAAAACTAGAAATAAAGCTGGACAAATATTTTTTCGAGCCACTATATTAGAACCAAAATTAGCTAAATGTTTATTTAACTAATGCGTTAAATCAGCCGGCGAAAAAGCTCGCTAAAGCACACGTTTAAAAATAAAATATGTTAGCCAAGAATTAAATGGTATTAAATTGATCCAAATTTTACAGTATTAAGTCTCGATGTTGTCGATGAATTCACATTGATTAATAGAAGGTAATCAAAGTATTGTAAAAGTTATTATGACGATATGACTCATGCAAAGCGAATACTGGTCTCGACTTGGATGATTTGATTAAACTCATTGAATTTTGTATCGAAAATATTTCATTTGACTTTCAAGATCCATGGTATAAACATAAGTTAGAATTACCAATGGGATTGTCACTATTTCAGATATTAGCCGATGTATATCTTTATCATCTGCTAGACAGAAATTGGATATTTGACAGGAAAATAGTGTTCTTCCCTCCGTTAGAGCTTTCATCTCAATAAGGATAGGAAGATTTTGTCAGCTTTGACGCCAAAGTCAAAATATTTGGAGTCCAATTCATTCCTGGACACGTTTCTGTACAAAGTACTGTAATACTAGAAAATCCAATACTTATCACGATATTTTCTGATCCCAAAGTGTCGTCCTGTTTGTTCGATATGCAAACCATTGTGATCGTTGCATTGATACCCATAGACAACTTTATTCCCGTCTTTAGCAATACGAAATGTGACTGTGAATATGTTAGATAGTCTGCTTCCTTCTCAAAATACGAAAATTATTTCTTATTATGGATGTTTACCTTATACTTTTAGTTTATTAGCTAATATAAGAGAACATGCACCATAATATGGAAAGAGAATGACAACCTTTCTAATATTGGTTTGCATAACTTGTTTTTTACATATTCATTGCTGAATTTTATCCCCTTGAATAGCTTTGTCGATCACCTTTGGGATGTTGACAATACATGAACTGTGTTTTCACTAGTCTGCCATTTTATAGCTCTCAGATAAAGATATTTTATGAGATTGACTTATAACTTCTGAATTGATTGTTAATTCATTTTATATACAAACCTGTGTCTGTCTGTCGGTTCACGATAGACGTCATCGTTTCGTTCGACTAGAACATCCGAATTTTTTTTGCACTTCGGCTGTAAATTGAATCTATTCACTCAATATATTCATACAGATTCCGAAGAGAACAATGTTTTTTTGCGTCCCATGTAGCAAAATGAGCATATCATCAACGTACCGATAAGTTCTCTCGATAATCCTTTTATTTTCACATATTTAGGTTGGCATAGAATTTGTGGTTGATTATCGTCTACCGTTTCTTGACGTTTCAAGCCGTAATGAGAACGGCATACTATACATACATTGTAATTTGCCAGAGATCTAACTGATAAAGTAGTAAAAGAAGTTACGTAAAAACTTTCTTTGAAATTACTCCTTACATAGAGCAGAAAAATAAGTGGAAAGAAACAACAAAACTGTTGAGCTACAATTAACTAAGATATTTCCCTAGTGTGCGTTGAATGTTGTTTATAGAAAAAGATATTGTAACTGTTCTCGACAACAATTTTCAATCTAACGAGTGTGGTAGAAAGAATCAGACTGTTTTGCTTTCTCTATAGCTCAGTCAATTTTAATGAAACCGAACGAAACTTTTTTTTAAAAGAATGGCAATTAAAGTCTCCACAAAACTACGTGTAAATAATCTTTTTAGCGTGAAAGATGACGGAATTATAAGAGAAAAAGTAAAGACGCCCTAGCAGGTCAACTTTCCAAGGTAAATTTTTGATACTTCCTTTACCAATTTTCGACCCTTGTAGTTAAACCTATTTCTTCGCGCACAGTGTATTCGCAAAATTTTCAAAAGTGTATTTATTCGATAGCCGAGATTTTAAACTTCAAGACAAAAGAAAATTGTCAGAGAAAGATCATTTTTAGTTGAGTTATGAGGATTTTCGCGGAAGGAACAAAAACATGGATCAGGAAGAGCGGTTTTTTTCAGAAACTCCGAAACCCAATCTCGCTATTGTGGGTTGAAGAGATGGTCAAAAATTTGATGTGTTTCGGTTTCCGATAGAGAATTTTGCGCTCTTTCAAATAGTCGTCTCAGATTCACTCTAACTCAAGCTAGAGATACGCAGACTTGAAAAACTTATTTTTGCCTTGAAAAGTTGTCACTTTCGGGTGTCTTTACTTTTTCTCTTCTAACTCAGTCATCTTTCATGCTAGAAAAGTTATTTACACTTAGTTTTGAATAGATAACAACAGAATTAAATGACAAATCTTCTTAAAAGAAGTTCGATTAGATTGGGTGAAAATTGACGGAGCTATAGCGAAAATAAAACAGTCCGGTTCTTCCTGTCACACCCGTTAGGATCGTTTGCTGGAAGAAGGATGAAGGAGTTACTTCCAGCGTAAGGCATGGCACTTCTCATTGACAGAGGCTAGAAGTTCTAACAGCCACTCAATTAGTAATCGGAGTGACTGGGCTGAATTTCGAAAATACACGTCACCCTGTTATTATTTTATGAGACTTTGTGAAACAAAAATATTTTCTCCGGGGCGCAAAAATTGGCATATTCAGGTTCTTAGCAAAGAAATTATTATGGGATTCATAATCATGGGCGATGACTCTTATTTTTTTACCACATCTAGTTAATAATAGCATTAACTAACACTTCTCTCTTGACACAAAACTGATTACCCGTTTAGCGTCGGATATTTTATGCACCTACTCCGGCTTTGGAAACTGGACAAAATCATACTGTCGACCGAATGGACATCGATTCCAGCTATGCAAACGAAAACACAAGGCCCCGCTGTGATGGCTCATCGCCATTACATTATTCTCCTTCCTTGATTTTATCGCAAATTCTAGAAATTCTTACAACTATGAAGCTTCGCGGTTTTTAAGGAAGAAATATTCGACACCGAATTATTAATAAATAAAAATTATTATATTTTTGTCTCCCGGGAACAAAAGTCAAAAAAAAGTCATAGTCGGAAGTAAATTTCGATTCGAGTCTTGCCACTTTTCAACTTCAAAGTAACATCTCTTCTCTCTTTCTTCTTCTCTCTCTCTTACATTTATAGAGAGAATTCCCCTGATTAATCTTCAAATTCAAATCACTTCTTCTTCTTCTTCTTCTTCTTCTTCTCTCATATACAGGAAGGAGGAGCTTTACTATTCTATATAATTAATAATATAAACTAAATTTTTTATTTAATTTATATTTTATATTTTCATAATTTAGTATTTTAGTTTTCAATAGTTATTTTCGTTTCTCTTTCAGTACGTCACGATTTCCACCACATCTTCTCGGAACAACGAAGAAGAATACTAGCTATTTTATTCATCAATTAATTAAACTTCAACATTGTACAAATCGTTTTTTGTACAAAACATTTATCCTTCAATTAATAATAATTGTTGCTGCTGGGAGAACAGAACTGTGTGTTGTTTTGAGAAACTGTTAGTAGGGCCTAACGAGCGTCCCGCCGAGATGTCGCCACAACAGTGACCAAAGTGAGGCATCGCAGCTGCTAGATTTCTTAATAACGAAACGTTGTGGAGAGCTCGGACTGCTCTTAAGCTGGCGAAACACATGTGGCTAGAAGCTAACAGATATCAGATAATTTTCATATTTTACGTTTCAAATTAATCGTGAGCGTCGAAAGTCCAGGATTTGAAAAAGTCGCATTAAGTTGCATAAAGGTGTTTTTTTAACCACAAATTTAGGCCAAATATGGAAAATCGGGCTCTATTAGCCTCTACCCACATGCGTCAGCTTCTATTTAAGACCTTTCCGAGCTCTCTGTGATGCTTCGTTACCAAGAAATCTTGTATTTACAAAATGGTGTTAAGGTGAAAGTGACTTTCGAGATATGGAAGCGCCAATATCTGATGCATGTTTTAGGGCTTCCGATAAAACTCTCATAACTCTTGATTAGAACATCATTCAGAGCTGGGAAAAAGCTCGTGTTGATCAAAAATGTTTGTTGTATTTTCTGTATTCCTCAGGTAATCAGCCTTGATTCTTGAGCAATTTTATCTTCGAGGTACCTCTCATAGCACTACTTACAGTCAAACATAGTTGATACTCATTGGCAGCGCAACAGCAGGCAATTGCTCAAAACCAGATCTTCTTTTCCCATCGAAATATTGAAAAAAAAATGATAGCAAAAAATGAAATGATATTTTCGCACTTTATATTAACATGAGTTTAAAGAAGTTGTATTAGCACAATATTTTTGTCCATGTTCTTGTGACACAAGAGGTAAATAAACCATTTTTCAATAAATTTAAAACATACCTCTTAGTTTTTTGACCAAATAAAAAAAGTAGTCTTTCTGAGATTTCTCAACAGGATTAATGGAACATTCATTTTATTTTCATAGCAGTACTTTTAGATTGTTTTGAACGTGATATTGATTAGGAATTTCCGTGCTTACAGTGGAGGAACATCGAACAAGGTGTCATACATTGAAAGAATTAAATAAACACAGCTAAAAATTCGAATACTTTTGTAAATGATATGGCATCAATCACAGAAGTTTATTTGATAAACTGGAAGAATTTGATGTTATCACCCTGTTATTATTTAATCTAGTACATGTGCTCTTAGAAGAGGAAGTTAAAAATCATTTGCACATGTTGCACGTATTCATTAATTATTGTGATACTACTAGTTTATTTATAATGAAAGAGTTTTGTGGACCGTGAATAATTTTCAATACAGCAAGAATGAAGCCGCAAACAAACCACATTTGGATCGTGATATTGCTAATTTACGTGCAAGAGCAGACAATTTGCCGTTGGCTAGCATGTAAACGTATGTTTTGTCATTTAATTTACCACCAATATTAAAACCAATATTGCAAAATGCTGACTTTCCACATTATCAAGCAACTTTATTCTTGTTTGACATCACTAATTTGTCTTTTACGACCGATATCCAACATGATACACCAAATTTATTGAAACATTGGATATGGCTACATAACACACAATTTAGGAATTTTTATTCTGATATAAGAAACCAAAATTTCATTTTTTGACACATTTTCCGAGGCAAATGGCATTGTTTGGACCGCTAAGGTGTGTTTATTGTTTTATGGGAAAATATTTTATCATATGTAACAGTTTTGTTATAGCATCCGTGTAAGAGAAGTGCAAGCTTCATGAGTAGTTCGATGAGTTCTGCGTCTGTAAAGATCAGCGATCTTTGTTTTTAATTTTAACACTAGAACATCCGGAAATTTTCATGACCAAAAACGCCCCAAGCGGTCATTTTGACCATTACTGCTTTTTTTAAAATTTTATAATTGAACATGGTTCTGAATTCAAAAATAAATTAAAAATTCTGTAAAAAATGGGATAAATTAAAAGTTATGATATAATTTATTTTTAAATAAATTGTATGCAGTTGTTTTATTAGGAATAAAAATCAAAAAACGGTCAAAATGACCACTACGGGCGTTCTAGTGTTAAGGCCCACATACATCCGTATTCCCAGACATTTTCGCGTTTTTGTCGTTTTTCTCTGTCAGGTACAAACGATAAGAAAACAAATGAAGATAGCGAACTGGATGCCGATGAGGGTTCGAATATATTATTCATAAAAATAAAATAAACCATAGTAAGGTCGTTATTTTATTTTCATTTTCAGATTAAGTAAACAGGTTGATTGATAGTCGTGTCGACGATCGAATCAATATATTGCTAACATCGTTAAATAAAAAGTTGGATTTTGTGACTAAAAAAATCGAGTAGGTTTATCAATCATCCGGTTTGGTAAGCTTTTGTTTTTTATCTATATGTGGATATATGACATCAGTGAAAGTAATCCTTTCTTTAATTCAGGGAGAATCATAATTGGCAATGTATCGTAATGAAAAAGATAAATTTCAGGAAGAAGTAGCACATAACTATGTTTTTTGAATTCCAGAACTTGTGCTTTACTCCTTCCTTTAGATGTACAATAACGAAAATTTACTCAATATAAATGGAAAAAATCCTGGTGATTATGGACGGCGATTGCTACGTGTATTATATACTCAAGATGAATTAAAAACATGTATGTTACTGTCGACGGTCGGAGAATGATATTCAAAATCAAAACTAGATGCAAATCGATTTGCACTGTTAAACAGTACATTAACATTGATTAATTTCTATTGTTTTGGATGTTATCATTCTCTAGAGAGAAAATGAAAGAGTTGTGCCATGCAATTCCGTGTTTTTCTCTTCATGCACTTTTACAAAAATTTAGTTCGAAAAAGGCTGAGCGATTTTTTGCTTGAAGAAGAACGTCGTGATAAGGTAGAAATAAAACGTCTTCGAGTACAACAAGAATCAACCGAAATATGTACTCCTATGACAGTAGATCCAACGTCAATGCCTGTTATTTATTTATCAACGTCAATGACCAATGATGAATAATAGTTTTGATATATGATGTGAAATTATTATTTAGCTATCGTTAGATAGTTTTATTGATGTAAGAGGAAGAGTCGAGATTTGGTAATGTAGTACAATGAGATGTTGTCTTACCTATATTCTTGTAAAGCAATGAAAACTGTACATACTAGTTCGGTAATGGGAAATAGAGGCTAGTTCTTCTAAGAAAAATGGGTCATTTATGAAAAAAATCGATTATACCCATATTACATGTGCGCAGTAAAATAACTGTGAAACCCAAACGATATGCAGAAACAAATTCTAATTTTGTCGAAAACTGTATGAGTATGAGCTCTATTTGCCACGTTCATGTCGAGGTCTGAAATCCATCTGCGTCTATGGGAAAAAAAATCTTTACTGGAAAAAAGGATACCACAATAAGGTATATTTTGGACTTAAACTTAGTTTTTTCTGGTCTGATTTACTTATCAACCAGTTTTAACCCCATATTCGTAATCTACGAACAAAATTGAGTCGAACGGAGTATTAAACATATGTTCAAAATACAAAAACGCTTTTTGGGGACAAGAAACCCTACGGAAGATCTTGATGGAACCTGTCTCTCGAAAAGCACACATTGTGTGATAGTTTGGAAGGACATCGAATTAGTTTTTGATTGTAAACTCTTCCTTTTAAATTTTATTAACAGAAATTATTTCAAAAACGTTTCGGAAGAATCTTCTTCCTTCTTCAGTTTGAAAAAATAATAAATGACATATAGAACTATTTGAGAAACACATACTATATAATTTATTCTTTTTTCTCTCTCTCTCTCTCTATAATAGTGGGAACGGACGGACAACAGGACGTTTTACCGTCCCATTACTCATAATCTCTTAACTGTCTCTTTAATCGTTTAAATTTAATCTTCCTTTTTATATGATCAATATTTTTGCGTAACAAGGGCATCCAAGAATAATCTAGGTCATTATGTCTATTTATCGACCTGTTCATAATTGAATAAATAGATTCTTTCACACGTCTGTTTCTCGTGCATATCTTTGTAATGCATACTATAATTATAAAAGTTATATCAGAGTAATTCTTTCGGTATTGTCCCACACTTTACATAAAGGTTTGCCGCAAACATCATAATTCAACATAATTCAATTCCAAAATTTGGCTTTATCCTAACAAACAAACATACAAAAGTATTACAATAAAATATGGGAAAATTATTGTCATGTCTTCTTGATTGTAGTGAATTCTCAGACATGGTATAAAACAAACCACTTTTCTTTGTGTTTCCATAAAATATGCTCTTTCTTGTTGGCGTGATTGTAAAAGAACAGTAACAGATGTCAAAATAGTATTATGTACGCATCTACAATAGAGAGAAAGTGAATGCTGAAGTAAGAGTCATTATTTATTTCATTTTTCGATCTACTATCAATATGGTGCAGTCATAAAGAATTTATTAGACATCTAACAAAAATGAAAAATGTAAGAAAATGTATTTACAATTTCTTACATTTTACATTCTTTCTCAGCTGACCAGAAGAAAATTTTCTTCTGGTCAGCTGAGAAAGAATGTAAAATGTAAGAAATTGTAAATACATTTTCTTACATTTCTCATTTTTGTTAAATATCTATTGTATCAGTTAAACTTGTAAAAAGTTTATCGCATCCTTGAAAGATATTAGTCATGTTTCGTATAATAACATTGATTCTTTATATATAAAATACTAAAACATGCGGAGGTTAAATAGAGAATAACTATTCTGCTGTCAGAATATAATAAAATAAGAAAGAACGACAACAGCCGACGCCTATATATACTATACCTTTTTGTGTTTGATAGCTGAAAAACATCTCGTATATTTCAAGAAAAAAAAAGGCTATCAACATTATTCAACATGGCCAACATAGATTACAATAACGTAGAAAAGGCAGATAGCTCAGTCAATCCGCCATCATATCAAACCTATGCCTATCCAGTTCAACATGTACACCAGCAGACATTTCCTCCGCCATACGGTAGGCATTAGAATCTTTGAGGTTATTAGTCACAGACAACCTCTCTATCTCTTCAGGAGTTACTGTCGGTCAACCAATGCCCATCTACGTCGCACAACAGATGCCATTTCTGGGTCATCACTCAGCATCGATCATTTGTCCATCGTGTCATGCTCAAGTGTTTACACGCGTCGACTATGTGAGTGGTACAGCAGCATGGCTCATCTGTTTACTAATCGCTCTTTTCGGTGGAATATTTGGTTGCTGTTTAATTCCATTTTGTATTGACTCATTAAAAGATGCCTATCATCAATGTCCAAATTGTAACGTACAAGTCGGAACACGCCGAGTCATTTGATAGACAGCAAAGATGTGCATTTTACTACATTCTTGTAATTCACTATGTTCGACTGAAAATTTGTTTTTGGATGATAAGAATATATCTTTGAGGATAAAACGAGTACACTCATATTAGTGATAACAACTGTCATCGCGATATACATTGGCTAAACGGATGAGTATTTCATTTTATCGTGATTAATACTAGAATTATCGAAGTAAATTTCTTTATCAGATGAGTATTTTATCTCGAGAATTTAGATTATCACGATAGTTGTAATCTTTAGCGCAAAATTTCCTTGATTTGTTAAATTCTATCATTTGCGAGAACAGTATGCTGAGTATTCACAGAAAAATGTTGCAAATTGGAGAAACAAGACAGTAGTCGCTGTATGGCATCAAACGATCGATATAAATCATTTTCTGTTAGTTTTATATAGCCTAATGTTGTTATAATAAATGAGAATTGTAAGGCATTCCAAATTCAAACACCGAGCACTATTTTATTTTTGATTTAATTATACATCATTTGACAGAGAATTCCGCCTTCCAGTGCACGCTTTCTATGAAAACGTTCAAAAAACTTGAAGAACCCGTTTTATCGAAAACCACTCATTTTCGAAAAAAACGTGTTATAGCTCGCTCTCACATTGTTCTGGAACCTTGAAAAGTGTTTTTCTTGTTCAGCGTCGAAAACTACATACAGGAAACTATATTTCAAAGTACCAGAACGAAAAGATGTGTTCGAGCACCAAACGAAGCAACGAGATCTTCAACTTCACCATACTCATTTTGCAAACCTACCTACCTTTTTACGTAAGAGATGAAGCAAAGCTTCACAAGACATTCGATTTATCTTGAAACCCAGTACAAAAGAATGAATCGCTTGTTTGAAATTCCTCTTACTGGTGAGAAAATTCATGTTTTCTAAATCTGAGGCCAAAAGGTCAGAATTCGGCTCATATTTCTCAATCAGAACTGAAATTCTGTGTAATAAAAATATCATATTCAGAATTGAATTAAAAACTGAGTCGACGGTGTATATCTATCCTATACGAGTAGTTTAAATTTTTTCGAATTTTCACGTTTAAAAATTATGGAAATTTTCACGAAAAAAGAAGAATGAACATTTCGAAATACACGTCAGTCAACTCAGCTTTTGATTCTGATTCCGAATATGATACCTTTATATTACACTTTTTTTTTACAAAAAATGGGTTCTTCAAGTTTTTTGAACTTTTTTCATAGAAACCATGTACTGAGAAGGCTAAAACCTAAATATTCGTGATCAGCGTGAATCTATCGAATGATATATAATTAAACCAAAAATAAAATAGTGCGTATTTGAATTTGGAGCGGCTTACAGTAACAATCAAATATTTTAAACAGAGAGATACACTAATAGCGAGTAAAGAGTGCCGGTTGTCGTCGAATTAATATTTAAATATTCTAAATTTAATGATACCACTTGTGTCATGTAGGTAAATTCAATCTTTTCATCTACAATTATTGATAGACGTTTTAATTTTTGTAAATTTGCTAAGCTTTTAACACGATAGAATATTGAATCTTTTCTTGTTGATACTGAGAAAGTGCATTTAGAAGTGAATGTAGATTTAAATTTAATAATTTTAAGTTAATAACAAATTCTTCTAGATGATAATTCGCGAATGTCTCGTATGGACGGCATGGATAAGTAGATACCCTGGTGAATGTACTTCACGATAGATACCCGAGTACTTGCATTTTTCTTAGAGATCTATGCAGACACCCTGCTACAGAAATATCATTGGTGGTTGAATTTTTTTCAAAATATAAAAGTAAAAGTAAATATTACTTGAGCGGTACCCAATTACTTGCACTGTACGCAGCAGAGATACCTAAATGTTTTTCCGTTCGACATTTTGTGTCGCGTTCAAACATATGTAAATGAAAAACATATGTTAGCAAGAATGATGTGCGTGTTTATCTTCACATGATCACCTAACACGGCTGACCATTTATGTGCCCGCTAAGTAATATTTTACTTGCAAGCAACAAACTTTGCGATAGAAAATAAACGTGCTGAATTTTGTTGTTCTTTGACAATTCAACTAAATCAAGGTATCATTGAACATGACACAATATACAGTTGATTCTTTCATTGAGATTATGAAATCCATTATAAATGGCTGACATATATTGGAATACTTTCAATATCATCTCCACTAGAAATTAATCAAAAATGAAAACTGTCATTATTTTCTAATTTGTTTTTTACAAAGTAAACTCGATATTTTATTAAAGAATATATTTTTGTGACAGAAATTGCTTACGAGAAAGGACATTCTCACACAATAAAAATATAACGATGGTTAGAGTCATTATTCATGGTGAAAAGTCTTAAAGTTGAAAAGAAAAACATCAACAAAATCAGCGTGTGTGGGACGGTCTTTTATATTAACCACAACATCAGTTAAGTATGCAAGTCGAAAGTATGGTTAGAAATACAAAGGTAGAAGAACAAAGAATTAGCAATACGCAAATATTCGACATACACTGCCCATAATTCCATTCCATGTTATCATTCTTTTTTCTATCGTCCTTATTCCGTTTCTGTATTATATAACCACCGTGAGAAAGCCTCCAACATCGTATTTGGTACAAGAAATATTTCTGCACAAAACTGCCGACTCGAAATATTTTTG